CTTTCTAGCCAGCTCTATGATGCTATCAGCACCCTCTCCCCTAGTGTTTTGACCTACTCTCTCTCATTCTCCTACTTTAACTTACCCTTCTGTTTGAGACAACCAGCCTTGTATCCATTCTCAGTCCTTTCACTCTACCATTTCTCTCCATCTGACCTTTGACCCTTCAATATCAGAGACCACAATCGGTCCCTGTGTCTTTCCCAGTTCTTTTTCAAGGTGTTTTCTTCCAGAGAATGCCTCAACAATACACAAACAGACTTCTTAAAGGAGCGAAGCCAATCTACAAAAAAAACTAGATTTCTTCAAAGTCATTCACAAAAAAATTATTTTAAATCTACCTCCTCACCAATTTGCTCTCCAACAGGCACAGATTCAATTGAAACTCTGACCTCCCAATTCCAAGTGGAAACCATTCTGTCCCCACTGTAATAGCCTGGAAAAGACTTCAAAAACTAAACCTGAGTTTTTGAGGTCACTGGCATTACCAAGTATGAAGGATAAAAAGGAGAAACCCATAGGAAATCAAGACCCCAGGTTCATTTTGTTTGCAGGGCTACAGAAAATGACAATGATAGCTAACAACAAAAGAGTAGATAAATTGAAGGACGTGGCTTTTGAAAGGGGCTTTGGTGAAAGATGGTATTTCTAGAAAGCCTGTCGTGATTTGAAGGGCATATGGTCACAGGTCTGTTTTCATATTAACCTTCAAAGCAAAGTTCTGAGGAGGAGTTGCCACAGACTTTCTCAATTTGGAGAAACATCCAGAGGTTGCCAGCAATTTCATTTCTGCCTCACCTTCAAAGTAACAACAGAAACACCTTAACCAACCCAAGATTCCTCAGTATGGGTATTGCTTCCTTGACTATTAGTGGCAGCATAGAAATTGGAGCCATATATTATCATTGATATTTGAAGTCATCCTTTTTTAGAGATAGTTACATGGTGCAGCTGATTGAGTTGGGTTCAAATTCAGTTGAGTTTGAACCTGAGTTCAAATCTGACTTCAGACATTTACTAGCTGCGTGGCCCTAAACAAATCACTTTACCATTGCTTGCCTCAGTTCCCTCAACTGTAAATGGGGATAATAGTAGCACCTACCTTAGAGGGTTTTGTGAGGAACAAGTGATGTAACATTTGTAAAGTGCTATACACATGCTAGCTATGATTTCTTTGGGGATATATAATTACTATTTTTAGTTTAGGTACACAAAACATCGGTGAGAATATATGCATGCGCAAGTCAATCGATCAAGAAAAAATTATTGAGCACTTAAGATATTCCAGGACTGAGAGAGGTAGAGAGACAAGAACATAGCAAGCCCTACTCTCAAGAGTTTAAATTCTATCAGGGTGCATAAAATTTCAGAAAATGTTAATAAAAGTCACAGAATCACAATATCATTCTGAACAAAAAAATGGAATCAAATCATACTTTCAAAAGAATTACTAACAACTCCAATTTGTTCAGTGTTACAGGTGATACACAATGTCTAATTGTCCTTAGCCAGTGAAACAAATCCTTAACTAAACTCCCTGACTAATGTCTCATGATGGATAGGAGTGACAGTGGGGTCTCAGATGCTTTGTTAGTGGAATGTAAGCCCAGGCAGGTCCTAAAAATGATTTTTAAGGAATATGGACCTAGATGCAGAAGGGTGATTGGCCAGTAGACCATGATCCACCATTTGGTGACCCCTTCTTGGAGGTACTATACTAGTCTTGTCTAATTGCAATCATGTGACTTTCTATCTCTCTCTCTTTTTTTTAATTTTTGTATTAGTTGATCTGAACCTATAATTTCATTGACGGTAGGAATTACCGGTTGGGAAACCACCTCATTTGTTTTCTAGTTGATAAACACTTATTAAGCACCTCTGAGACACTGGGCTCAGTACTGGGTATGTTAAAAAACAGTCACTGTCCTCAAAGAGTTTATATTTTGTCAGAGGACAAATAAGTTCAAAAACATCTAAGTCCATACAAACTGTAAATCAAATAATTGCAAGGCAATCTGGAGGAAAGGACATAGGCAGCTGGGGAATCAGGAAAGGCTGCATGAAAAAGGTGGAACTTGATCTGAGTTTCTGTTTTAAGAAGCAGAAGTAATGAGAGAGTGCATTCTAGGCATGAGGGACAGCCATGGCAAAGGTATGGAGAAAGGATATGGAACATCATTTATGAGAAACAGCAAGAAAGTCAGTCTGGCTCAACCGGAGAGAGTAGGATGGAAAATAATCTGGAATAAGGCTGGAAAGGTAGGTTGTGGCCATGTCGAAAAGGGATGAAAAAGTTCAATAGAGGTGTTTGTATTTGATCCCACAAGTAATAGAGAGCCACTGGCAACTACTGTATAATATAGAATCTGAGAGCTGCCTAGGTTATGACTTACCTGGGGTCACACTACCAGTGTGTTTTGGAGGCAGGACTTGAACCCAGGGCTTCATCTCCAAGGCTTGCTCTCCATCCTCATTGCCATACTGTCTCTCAGTCTTGGCAAACTCTATCTATCATCTATCTATCTATCTACCTCAATCTATTATCTATCGTCTATCAACTAGCTATCTTCTTGCTATTGTCTATCCTCTATCTATCATCTACCCATTTATCTACTAGCTATCTTTCATTTATCTATTTATTATTTATCTATCCGTCCATTTATTTATCATGTGTCCATCTGTCTATCTATCATTCTCTGAAGACTCTGTTATCATGGAAGCAAGATATATGAACACTGCCAAAGGCAGAAAACACTGGAATACCTAAGGAACATGGCTACTCCAGATTACTTCAAGCTTATATAGTTTAGTTGCATACTGACACATCCATCCTCATCTATGGCATGTGAAAGGTAACAAGCAAATTTGCTTTTTGAGAACAAGAGGTTGAAAAATGAAGTATTCTCGCTTCTCAGTGATGACAGTTCCTCAATCACAGCAACATGCAAATCAGGTGATATTTCTCTAGCTGCATGAGATGGCCCAATGCCCTTGTTTGGGTAATCCCTGAAAGCTGCTATATTTTATATCTAAATCAGATAAGAGACTCTTATAAAGTAGCACTGCTGTTTGTACCCAACAAAGTAATAGCAAAGAACCACTCAAAGTCACAGTTCATCAATCAATTAATCTATCTATCAAAAACATTTATCAGAGGCAGCCCAGACTCTTTCATATCATGGAGAAACCTCTCCTAGGAGTTAGGTCACTTCCCCAATTGCCAGATGAGTGGATTGAATTGAATAATATTGGTTTTCATGGTAGACTATAAACTCCCTGAGGGATTTTTTTTTTTATTGTTGTAGCCCCAGTGCTCAAATCAAATCAAAATGCCTTTATTAAGCACTGACTAAGTGCCAGACAGAAAGAAAGGCAAAAATAGACACTGGCCTCAAGGAGTTCAAAATCCAAAAGGAGAAACAACATGCAAATAATGATGTGCCAACGAGATATGTGCAGGAATAATTGAGGTAAGGGCTGGGACAGGCTTCTTGCAGAAGGAGTGAACTATGGAATATTTCAGGTGGACACGAATGCCTTTAGATTTTAGAAATCAGCAGCCAAGTGCAGTTAATAGCAAGGCAGCTTTAGAATCTGGGGACCTGGGTTCATATCCCAGATGTCCTACTTATTTTCCCTTTATCCTTGAAATCACTTAAGCTGTAGAGGAAGCAGGTTCTTCACTAGCATACAGAGATGAAATGTGATGAACTCTAAGGTCACTTTTAGCCCTAAATCTATGATCTTATGAAGGTTATTCACTCTATACTAATATCTTCAACCTTCCATATTCTTCCCAAATCAAACTATCTTTGAAAACTATTCAAGGAAAGCTCTTGGAATCTTTTAAGACCTTTGCTACTCTTTAGCAAAAGGGCTTCGAGAAGGGGGCGTTGAGCTAAGCATTAGCATCTTGTTTCTGAATAACCTTTAAAAAACAATTTATAAAAACCTTTTTTTTTAATCTAAGGAGCAACACAGTGGAAGGACAAGGGCAGTGGGCTTGGAGTCTGGAAAATTATTGCTATTTGGGAGTGATTGTACATTACTCTCCCTGAAACAAGGATGGCCTGGGGAGGCTTCTTGGAATTCATTCATTCTCTCCATCTTTTCCCTTCTCCATAGAATAACAAGAGCTGACATTTGAATTGAGCGTCACACAAATTATCCCACTTAAGTGAAAGAACAACCCCATGAAGTGGGCACTGGAGGTTTGATTAATCCTACTTAATGGATGAGAAAAACGAGGCTGAGAAGAATGATTGAATCAGGGCCCTCTGCTCTCTAACTGGGCTGCTCTATTATTGTGTAGTATAGGTTGCCAGTGGATAACATTTTACTTTCCTTTAGTTTCTTTTTTTAATTTTGGGGCCCAAAATCTCATAAAATTATCCTTTAAAGCAGGTAGGGTTGCAGACTGTATGGACGGAAAATCAAGAACATGTGATGTAGACTGCAGATAAAGACATGGTCGTAAATATAATGTGGAGTCTAGGGCAGAGTAGATCTGTAACTCAAAATTATTTTACCTGCGGTTTGGGGAGAGACTCTGTGCCAGTAGTAGAAAAGAGAGTGTGAAGGTTGGAATGAGGGGGCAAAAGGGACATTCCATAGTGACTAGAGGCTGGAATAGGGATGGAGTTGAGGACAACAGATATGTAGGTATAAGTGTACCGTGATAAGGGATAGTGTGTCGTGGAGAAAGACTCAACTAGGTTGATATAAGAGTAGAGAGTGGAAAGATGGGAACCATGATAAAAGGCTCTTTGGTTTGGGGGCTAATGAAAGAGTCTTTCTTCACTGAGAAGGCCTGAGGACTATCAGGTTTAAGGAAATCAGCATTCAGTGGGAGTATATAATCTCTAAGGAGTTCGTGTACCCACTGACATCAACTCCTTAGGACAACGCTCCAATAACAGCCCTAGTTTTGCTATTGGGTGAAGCGCACAGTTTCTATAGCAATTTTAATGCTGAAGACAATCAATATTTATTCACCCTACCTGGGGGCACAATGTCTCCATGTGACTGGCTGCTGTCTTGACTATTTTAATCCCATCTTCATTTGCAGACAGAGAACAAGCAAGATTAGCCACCTTAAAAACAAGCAAACAAACCAAAAGGTAAGTCATTGTTTCTACATCATGGAGGAGAATATAAAAGATCTGTTATCTGCAGCAGACAAGAGAACATAGAAATTCATTAAAAATCTCAAAATTGAAAATCAGATCTCAAATTTATTTTGAAGAAATATTTTTGTGTTGAATCTACCTGAACAAAGAAACCCAAAGAGTACTACAGAATTGAGAAACAAAGAGTCCTAGGGAATTGAGGGAATTATTATAATACTACTCTGTCTCTTGGTATTCCACATCTAATTCATAGTAGAAAGATGTGCCCAGGTTCACTTACTACAGGACTGAATATAATGCAGATCCGTGGCTTGAATGCTAATAGATACTTGGAATCTCATACGACTGTGGTTTATTTTACGTTTTTAATTGGCTTATTACTTCCCAGAGGTCTATTACGCATACTTAAATTGTACTAAGCAGTGACTATGTCTTTCTCCATGTTTTATTCAGTATCAAATAGGTTACAGGGCTGGACAAATAAATGTTAATTAAATTCCCCTGTTTTCTCTCTCTTTTTTTTTCCTGCTCTAACTGCTATTATTACTTGAAACTTGAGGAGCTTGAAGGGGAGGCTGCTTGGGGGTGGGGATGAGAAGGGAGAAAGAAAGGGTGCTGGTTTTGGAGTCCAAAGACTTGGACTCTTGGCTGTGACATATGCTGGCTGTGTGACCTTGGGCAAGTCACCACCTCTCTGGTGTCCAGTTTCCTCATCTCTAAAACGATGGAATTATAAAATGAGAGGGGTGGGCTAGATGGCCTCTTGCATCCCTTCTACTTCTAGGCCTATGACCCTGTGACCTCTCTGGGACATGGCTTCTTCCTCCATAAAGAGATGGGGTTAGACAAGATGGCCTCTAAAACTCTCTCTCACTCTAAAGCTTAGGAACTTGACATGAGTATAAATGGGAACAGAGATTCCTTCAGTTGCCATTGCTAGTGATTAGACAGATGACCTACGCAACAGAATAATGGGCCTGGATGGAGTGGTCTGGGTTCAAGTCTCACCTCTGAAGCTTAAAACCTGGCTGACTCTGGACAATTCACTATCTGAGGGCCAGGCAACTATCTAAGACTGTAAATTACAATGGTTTGTGATCTTAATGAGTGGCGTTTAGAAACTAGAATTTTTTATCAACTGGTAAGGAGACTGGTTAAAAAAAAAGTTGTCTTACATCTGTTACAAAAACTCAATATTTACCAATAAACTCCTTGTAACGTCCATTAGGAAGAAGTAAATAAGTATTTATTAAGTGCCTACTATGTGCCAGCTGCTTTACAAATATCTCCTTTTATCCTCACAATAACCCTGGGAGGCAGGTGCTATTATTAACCCTAATTTTCAGATGAGGAAACTGATGTAACAAGGTTAAATGCATTACAGAAGGTCACAGATAATAAGCATCTGAAGCCAGGTTGGAACTCTTATTCTGCTGACTGAAGGCCCAGTGCTCTAACCACTGCACCACTTAGCTTCCCCATTGGCAAAGAGGTTATCTCCACATCTCTCTGCTTCATGAGTCTCTCTTTACCAGCCTCCCCCAGATTACAGACTGTTGACAAGAGATAAACACAAAATCTATGATTTCTATATAGGAACTGAAGGGGTGCTTCTAAGTCATCAACTCAAAACCATTCATTTTACAGATAAGGGAACTGAGGCACAAAGACTTGCCTAAAGACACGTAGGTGATTAGTGCTTCAGTCAACAAGTTAATAACTTAGGAAGCATTTTCTATATTCCAGGCACTATTAAAGATGGCAGATCTGGGATTGCAATTGCCACCCTGTAACTCCAAAGCTCAGATTCTTTTCGAAGTACTACTCTGTAGTACAGGAACCAAACAGACCAGCATTTTTAGAAAAGGACCATATTCCCAGCTATCATAGGAGATTTTAAAAAATGCTTCTTGTAAATTATAGTGACTTGGGACTTCACTGGGATTGGGAATTCCCAGGGGAGGAAACTCCCTCTTCAAAAGCAGGCTGGCACTTTCTCAGCAATTTATAATCTTAAATAATTGCCCCCAGAGCATAGAGGTGAAGCAATCCACCCAGAGTCAGTATGGGTCAGAGCCGAGACTTGAACCCAGGATTTCCTAGCTAGCTCACTAGCCACTACTCATCACTGCCTCATTGGAAAATAATTTTACACCTTCATAATTAGCTTAACACCACATAGCTTTTATTGCTGACAACTCAGATGGGCTGTATACATTGTAAGGCATGCAAGACATAAATAATAAAACAAGCAGTGGGCCTTTTGATCCCAAAAGGAAGAGTAGCACAAAAATGATCTGATTTCCAGACTCTTGCTAAATACATAGATTTATTGGCTCTCCCCCTTTTTATTACATTGCTTTTAATATACCCCCTAATGAAACAGATCCCCTTGGTTCGCATCTACATATTAAGCAATCATAGCTCTACATGATTGAATTTTGGAAGGACACTCCTCATTTTAATAATGCAAAAAGGAAAGACTCATTCACATGGGCCGTTGTTGGCTCCAAGGTCGCAGTGCACCAACACTCTTTTCTCATCAGGTATTAATGCACCAGTGAGTTATTGACATGTGTTATCTCCTACCCGATGCCAAATGATCCAGGGTAAAGCTAGAGAAGCTATTCTAAGGCCTTTAATGTCACCGAAGTTGGAATGTCACTTCCTTAACCGACAATGTCTAAGTGACCATTGCTATTGTTTCAATAGAAGATGTATCTTGAAAGGCAGTGCAGTACAATGCCTTTAGGGTCTTTAAGTCAGGAAAACCTGTGTTTAGATTTTGACTATGACATGTCCTGGATATTAACCCCACCCCACCCTAGCACTCCAAGCAACCTGTAAAAACTATAAATTGAAAAAGAGTTGTCAATCTGCATTGATAACAAGAGTTTTCTAACCAGGAGTTCCCAAATAAAACAAAAATAAGGAAAATATTATGGGATACATATGCTGTGTCTTGATCTATGATTTCATTGGTGTAAAGAATTCCCAGTGGGGAAATACGGTGAGATGTACTGAGAAATATCTTTAGCATATTGAAACAAAAATGCTTAGAAAGCTAAGGATATGGCTTTGAATCCTACATAGCTTGCTTAATCAACATTTATTAGGCTCCTACTATTTTCTGAGTACTATGCTAGAAAAGGAGAAAGTATAATATATAAGGCATGCTTCCTGATTACAATGTCCACCAAGCATTTATAGAGTATGTAAAGGTTTTCAAAGCACTTTATAAAGATTATCTCATTTGATACTCACAATAACCCTGGGAGGTAGGTGCTATAATTACTCCCATTTTACAGTTGGGGAAACTGAGGTAGACAGGTTAAGTGTTTTGCCCAAGGTCGTACAACCATAAGTATCTGAGGCCAGAGTTGAACTTGTGTCCCTGACTCCATGTCTAATGTTCTATCCACTGTGCCTCCTCATTGTCTCTGACTCAAAAAGCTCAGAGTCTAATGGAATTTAAGACGCCAACACAGAGATAGAATTTACACTTTAGAGTAAGTGCATCAAGGAGGAATAAAACAAACATGCTATATGGGCACCAAAGTGGCCCACTGCATAGAACATCAAGGCCTGAAATAAGGCTGAAGACTCATCTTCATGAATTCAAATCTGACCTTAGACACTAGATCTGTGACCCTGGGCAAGGGGTTAACTTAACCTCTGTTAACACTTAACACTGTTTACCTCAGTTTCCTCTTCTGTAAAATGAGCTAGACCAGGGAAAGGCAAACCATTCCACTATGTTTGCCAAGAAAACCCCAAATGGGATCATGAAGAGTTGGACGTGACTGAAATGAATGAACAATAACAAGCTTTATGTACAACATCGCGCCAATTTCTAACCTTTCTGAGGTTGTTCTTTCATCTATAAATGAATATAATGATGGCAACTAAATCACAAGACTATTGTAAGGCATTTTAAAAACCTTAAAATGAGCTATCATTATTATAGAAAAACTAAGAAGTCCAACTCAACAGTCTCTGGAGTCACAGATTAAAGCTGGAAGAAGCTTAGATATCATGTAGTTCAACTCTCTTGCATTATAGAATAGGAAACTGAGGTATAGAGAACTCCGGTGATTGACTGGAGGTAGCCAGTATGACGGGCAGGATTTAAATCCAGCTCCTCAGTCTCCCAGAGCTACTGTCTCTCCATTGGAATACACTGTCACCTAGCTCTTCCAGATGCCCTCGGAAAGCTTTCTCCCAATGTTTCCTATTCTTTATGCTCCCTTTTGACTTGCATTTTTCATACTCTGAATATATGCTAACAGCCACCTGCAATGATGTTCTGTTAATGAGAAAGACATACCTAGTGTAACATAAATAAAAATCATAGGATTGTATGTCTTGTGCAGGAAGGGAAAACCCTTCACTACCCCCACCTCCCCTCCAAAAAAGCCCAAGATAAATGGACCTGGGAAATTACTATAGGCAGCATCATGTAGTTGAAACAGTATATTGATTTAGAGTCAAAGGACATTACTGTGAATCCTAACTTTTCTATTCCCTAGGGATAGAACCTTACCTTCTCCTCCCTAAGTCTGTTTTCTCTAGCAATAAAATGGAAGATTTGAACTAGATCACCTCTAAGTTTGATAATAATCATAATTTGAGATTCACAAAGCACTTTATAAATATTCTCACTTTATGCTCACAATCACCCTTGGGAAGTAGGTGCTATTATGTTATTCATTCTACAGATTAGAAAACTGAGGCAAATAGAGACTAAGTGGCTTTCCCAGGGTCTCACAGCTCTTAAGTATCTGAGACCAGCTTTGAACTCAGGTCTTCCCAACTGCAGGTTCATACTCACTCTACTGTGCCACCTAGTTACCCTAAAAATTCTCTGATCAAATCTTATTATAATATAGGGGTTCAAAACCTTTCTGTCATGGGCCACTTTGTATATGTGCTAAAGTCTATTGACTCTTTTTCAGAATTATTTT